ATCTGACTCCTTGCTCTGAGGGGAGCTTACTTCTCTCCCTCTCCCTCCCTCTGCCTGCTGCTCTCCCTACTTGCGCTCACTCTCTCTGTCAAAGAAATAATCTAAAAAAAAGGATCTTCAATTTTTCATACTCTAAGGAAATAACCAGGAACTTATATAAATATTTATATAATGTAAGTTTATCAAGTATGATTTATTATAATGAAAATTTGGAAGTAACCAAAATGTCCACAATTAGGAGAATGTCAGATAAATTATGATATACCTTACAGAGTATAATAAGGGTATTTGAAAGCCTATGTGTTTGTGAGTATGTGGAAATATAAATATACACACAAAAATTCTGGAAGATTTTCAAAAAATTTAAGGAAAATGTCAGCAGTTTGATATCAGCAGATCATCTGCTAGGAATTGAAGAGATATTCTTATACAGATTGGATTTGATAAGATTGAAAGAAGTCAAAATAACTAGGCTATACTTTGATGGAGCTGTTAACTAATAAAAGAAATAAAGAGCTAGGTTTTTGCTGGGGAAAAATAATGACTTTAGTTTGGGGCTTGTTATTTTGAGGTTTTATTCATGGGGCTATCCAGAAAGAGATAGTCAATATTTGGAAATATGTATGTGGAGATAAACGAAGAAAGAACATGAAAGAAAGATAGTGGGAAGGGGTTAAAATTTCCCATATTTTGTCATGTCAGGTACAGAAGGAGTCCATTGATGGGCTTGTTATCATCTAAGATATATATAAGTGATGTACTTTCTACTTTTTAAAAATATGTGTTCATCTGTTTCGGGTTGTGAAAGAATCATTTTGTTTCTCCTCTTACATGAAATTTTGCTCAGTCCCAGAATGGTTTTTGAAAGTGTACATTGTATAAATTCATCTTAAAGTGAAAGAAGCAATAGAGTTTGATACAACTTCCATGTATACAAATAGGTTCTGTTCCTAACCCTGCCTCTTGAACAACTCATTGCACCTCTTTGAATGATGTCTTCAGCTTGGCCTAGAATGGGTCTCAGCCTGGACGTATTTTTGAATGTTTGTGAGTTTTCTTATGTGAATTTTTAAAACTGTTTTGAGTATAGTTGACAGTTATGTTAGTTTCAGGTGTACAACATAGTGAGTGATTCAGTATCTCAATACATTGTGCTAACCTCACCACAAAGTGTAGTTACCATCTGTCACTATACAACGCTATTACAGTATTGTTGACTATATTCCCAATGCTGTACCTTTTATTTCCATGACTTATTCATTCCATAATTAAAAGTTTGTATCTCCCACTCCCTTTTACCCATTTTACTCTCCATTCCTCTTCCCTTAGGCAATCTTGGTCTGAATCTGCTTTCTGTTTGTTTATTCATTTGTTTTATTTTAAAAATTCTTTACTTTAAAAGGACTTAGTGAAAGCATATTTTGAATCATTTAAATGTCTACCTTATAATGAGTCCTGGGAAGTAATTTTAGTATCTCTGTTTATGATTGTGTTTAGCATAACTTTGGTGCCAACTAGTACAACTTTAATTGTTTCAGTCTAATGGTATTACAGGGACATATTTGTACCTAAATGTTGTACTTGAACATAGTAAAGCCTAAGGGTGTCAGGTAACAAATAAATAAAATTTCACAGTAGTTCAAATAAAGGAAAGACTTTATATAGCAGGATAGTCATAAATAAAATAGAGCAGATTTTTGGAGCAGTCAGTACAGGATTTATATAGCCAGCAATAATTGAGTTAAAGCAAAGTGATTTTCGTCATATCTATTACTGTTATTTGGAATTTTATGGACTTTTCTATTTTGGCTTTCGGGGTGCCTGGGTGCTTCAGGCAGCTGAATGGCCAGCTCAGGATTTCATCTCAGGTCAGGATCTCAGGGTCCTGGGATTGAGCCCTACAATTGTCTCCAAGCTCATCGGGGAGTCAGCTTGAGGATTCTCTCTCCCTCTTCTGTCCCCCCACTCATGTTCTCTCTCTCTCTCATCCTTAAAAAATACATAAATAAAAAAAATTAATTCTGGCTTTATAGTTGTATAAGGAGTTATAAGCGTAAGGATTTTACATCTGATTTTATATATGTATACTGCTAAGTAACATTATATTCAAAATAAGTATCAGGGATCTGAAATATTTTTTCTCTTTCAAAAAGCAATGTTATTAAATTTTTAATGTACAAACACAGTTTTTCCTGTACTATATGTCACTTCACTGTTAAGATACTTAAGGAGGTCTTTTAAGTGCTCTTTTGAGTGGCAAATTTCAAAAAAAGAGAAAGAAATTGGCCCCATAATGAATGTACAGTTCCATAGAATAGTGTGACTGTTGCCCTTGGCAGCGGTCACCATCCATTTTGAGTTTTAATACACATGAAAATGTTTTACAGTTAAACATTGGAGAAATTGAATTTTTCATAATGTAGATATGTATTTTTGCCATGCTTATTTCTTCATTTCTTTTCAGCTTAGCCTATCAAAATTTAATACTTTGTTGTGACTCGAGATGAAAGATATAATTATCTACCTATTTATTTTTGGTATAAGGTAGCACTGTTTTTAGGGCAAATTCTTTAATAAGGCCAGATCATCTCATAGCAATCAAATAGAGATGTTTAGCATGACTGGTAGTTCTTTAATCCTAGGAGTCTAATTTGGAATTGCCATATCTTTGTAGAATTTTAGAGATTTATGATTAATGAGTAATTTTGAAGTTTACCTTATAACAAAAAGGAGAATTGTTATTTTTATATATTTCCACTGTTGTTTTATATAAATTTATATTGTTTCACCAGTAAGTTCAATTACTTTCTATTTCAGTTTACTTATAATATGAAAACAGTTTGGGATATATACATTATAGATTTGGGCAAAGGTAAGTTATAAAAATTCTGTTCTTGATACATTTTAAACATCCTTTTTTTATATATTTTAAATTATAGTACTTTAAGACCTGTGGTTTTACATAATTGAAATATTTTAATTAGATTTGATATATTTGTTAATGTGAGCTCTTATTTTGTTCATTCTTATTTCAAAAATGCTTTTTATTATTTTAATCCCCTGTGTCAGAATTATAAAGCATTTTGTCACTTGCATAGAAGCTTATTGGGAAAACTATTTCCATGAAGAACATATCCCCATTTAAACATTCCTGTGCTCAAATTACTTAGGTTATACATAATTAAGTAGCTTCTAATCTAAAGAAGTAGGATGTTTCTTAAAAATCACTGGCTTTCTTAAAAATTCTTGAAGTATTCAAAATACTGATATTTGTTTTTATTAGAATAGTTATTTTATTCTAACCTGTTCTCTTAGGTATTCCAGTATAATCCTTTAGTTTAAATAGTGTTAGGAAAATTGAAAATTGTATTTCTATAATTTAACATAAAATTATCCTTATTTAATATTAATGTTATCTTATAAATACAGAAACACCCTTAAATGATCATAGATTAGTTGTTTCATTGATGTATGAGGATAAGGAATTAATCACTTGTCATCAGTGACATAATAGAATACTCTTAATTCTTACGTTCTTTAATCCAAAGGCAATTATTAACTATAATTATCTTATGGAGGTTTTTTTTTTTAAAGCAACTCTTTTATTTTTCTTGCAGTTGATAATTGGAGGAATCCTTTAAACATCTTAAAGTTTGCAAACCATTTTTGAGTTCTGAAAATGAGAATTCAGATAATGTATTTTTCTGATTTCCAGTGCTCTGAGATCACTGTGATACCTGATCTTGGGTTATTTTTAATACCTTACATCATTGCTTTATACTTTTATACAGATATATAGTCTCAATTTGGGTCAACAGAAGCATTCTTAAAATAACTTAGAGAACATATTGATATTAATAATAGTCACCAAAATAGAATTTTAACAAAGAATTGTCAAACACCTTGCTATGCTCAGATTTTAGTTTCATTTTCCTTATTCTTCTGTAAGAGGGTTTTTAATAGGCTAGTTTAATAAACATGATTCCTGGCGTGCTTGGCTGGCTCAGGTGGCTAAGATCTGACTTGATTTTGGCTCAGGTCATGATGTCAGGGTCCTGAGATTGAGCCCCACACTGGGCTCTGCACTCAGTGCTCCTCCCCCTGCTCCTCCCCTTTCCCTCTGCTCTTCCCCCTGCGCGCATTCTCTGCTCCCCTCCCCTGCTTACACATTCTCTCTTTCTCAAATAAATAGCTGAATGGAATCTTTAAAAACAAAAAAACAACAAAAAAAACCCATGATCCCTTTAGCAGTATTGGAGCTAATTTTATATTTTAATTTTAATATTCATATCAGGATTTAAAATTAAACCCATAAAATGTTCTTTGAATTAAGAACAGATTTATTGAAATTTTAGCTGAATTATTTTATCTTAAATAATTTAAAAATCTTTAGAGGATGTAGACTTTCATTTTCATTCTCTCAATCTCTTGATGTTTCCATCAATAATTGGCAGTTTAATTGCTAGGAACCCAGGAAAATAAATGAAGAAGTGTAGGAATGGTTTTAGCAAACAATTACTTTTTTTCCCTTTTTTAAAAAGATTTTATTTGTTTATTCATGAGAGACACAGAGGGAGAGAGAGAGGGAGAGAGGTGGAGACATAGGCAGAAGCAGGCTCCATGCAGGAAACGTGATGTGGGACTCGATCCCAGGACTCTGGGATCACGCCCTGAGCCAAAGGCAGACACTCAACCACTGAGCCACCCAGGTATCCCAAACAATTACTTTTATAATCACATGGATTATGTAATAGTTGGGAAATTTTTGTTTGCTATGATGTTTAGTTATGACCTAAGAAAACAGATTAACAATTTTTAGAATTTTTTTATGTTTTAGCACAATATACTTTAGCTTTTTTATTAAATAAAAGGTTTTCACCCTTAAATAGGCAAGTTAGTCAATGATGGATTAAAAGATGTTAAAATTTATGTTATTGGTTCAATTCTATGTAGTTTTTTTTTTTTTCAAAGAGAAAAATGTATCATATGCAGTATTTAAAAAAACCTCAAGTGAATTTGATTTTAGTTTTGCTTGCTAGCTAAATTATACCTTTTAGCATTTAGGATTTTTTTTTTTTACCCTTTCCCAATATGACAAAGGTTCCTACATTAAAAATAGTGTTGTAAACTCTCTAAAACAGGAATTAGGCTGTTTTCTCAGGATGTAGGAAACAAAGTTGTTAGGCTTTATTTTACTTTTGCCACCAAGATTTCGATAGTTGAGTTAGATAAATGACCATTAACATCGCCAAGGAGTAAGACAGAAAGGTACAAAAAAGAATCTAATATTGAAGTAAAAGGATGAGGAAGAGAACTTTTCTCTTCCAAACACTTTGGCACTATTTTAATCACAACAAAATTTGTCCATCCTTTTTTGAGATTAGGGTAATGTTTTGAAACAACTTCCTTCATAACCATTATTTGGCATTGGTTGAGTAGAGGTAGTCCTCACTTTTCATGGTAGTGTGGGACCAAAAAAATGGTCATACAAACTAAAACCTACATAATGATTTTAATCATTGGGAAAAATTACAATTGTTCTATGATCTTTAAAAATTTTTGTCAAGATATTAAAACTTTTATGTTGGTTATGAATGTATATAAGGAAATGAAAAAAATAGTAAAACTATATAAAAATACATTTAATACCATGTATTATAATACATTAAAAACAATGAGAATTAAAATGTTTTATTTCTTTGTAAAAAACTTATCAAGAGTAGCTTGAACAGTGCTTTGCCATCTCCTTGTATAAATTAGAATAGTAGATCTAGCCAGAGTGAGCATCTTTTCTGTGCCTTGGCAAATTGTCCATTTGGATCAGCTGCCAGCATTTTATTTTTGCATTTTCAATGTCAGGAAATATCTGCAAGAGTTTCTTTAATGTGAAGTTTTTGCTGGCATCACTTTCTCAGGGACATCTTCCTTTTTGTCACAACCACTTTCCTCATTTATGTCAGTACCTTCACTTAATTCTTTCGACTATGGATCTAAAATCTCTCAAACAGTGATAATGCAACATTTCCACAATTAGCTATTTCTTCTATTACTCCATTTACATTTGAATTCACTTTCACTTCCAGCTTTATCATTTTTCATTTCTTTGCTGTACTTTCACCTTTGTCAGCCAATGCCACCTTTTAGTTATTTGTTTTGTGAAATTTCAGGTAGGTTTAGGAGGCAAGAAGGTAACCCAGCTACATGCTTTGATATCTTTATAGACAGGTGAATTGAATGACCAGTCACCAACTAACTTTGGAAGGAAGTGATCAGTCACTGATTATGATATACATCTCTTATTAACATAGTACTTTGTAGACTGACATGCTAGCAAGGAAGTTTGTATTTATGCAGTTGTAGTTAATATAGTATGGTAAGTGAAATGGCAACCATGTTTTCGGAGACTGGTGTTATTGAACTAAATCTATGATAGCTGAAATCTGTGCCCTGGGAAGTAAGGACTGCCTGTAATTGGAAGAAGGTTGAACTGTTTGATCAATTAAAGATAGGGCCCATGTTGATGAGATTAAAGATGTAGGGCTATTTGTACTATTTGATCTCTGAGCCATTGGAACACCTGATATATTTTACATGGAAGTGGAAATTTGATACTGCTCTTCCAGCTTCTTTAATCCTCTTATGTGCTTCCTTAGAGAAGACCTTTCACACCGTTTCTCTAAAACAAAAACAAAAACCTAGTTGTAGTAAGTAAAAACTGTGGTTTTAGGAGAATAATTGTGATTTATGAATTCATTATGAAACAACTGACTTTGAAAGTTTTTTTTTCAAAAGTTTTTTTCCATTTTTATATAAGTTAACATTCTAATAATTGAAGATAAAAGGTGGCTAATAAATAAGTTTTGATTCATTTAGTCAGTAACTCCATTTTCATTCTTTATACTAGCAAATATTTTATTGTTAAATGTGAAAGATGAGGTCTTACTCTATTCTGGGTACAGTTGAATGATGTTAATTTATTGTTTGATTTCCTACAGGTGAACTGGCACAGAGGTTGATCTCAAGATGCCATTAGTGAAAAGAAACATTGATCCTAGGCACTTGTGCCACACAGCACTGCCTAGAGGCATTAAGAATGAACTAGAATGTGTAACCAATATTTCCTTGGCAAATATAATTAGACAACTAAGTAGCCTAAGTAAGTATTTTTATTTATATCAATGAAAATATTTCTTGCAAACCATAATGTTATGCTTTAGAGTATTAAGAAGATGTTCTTATGATTAATTTGGGGAGACGTTTGGTGAGAATACAAAGTTATCTTGAAAAGGGTGGCTATTTTAAATAAAATTAATGAGTTTTTGAATCATTTCTTCTTTGCATGTTTCTTCTGGGAAAGAGAAATAAGGACAATTTTAGGAACAGGATCACATGATAAGAATTACTGAAATTGTTTTTAAAATATGATTTGATCTATGAAGGATAGTGCTAGGGTTGAACTTTTGCTTGCTTATTATCACTGTTACTTTTTTAGAGGCTTCAATTATTCACTAGTATCTCTCTCTTTACATATATTTTATTAGCCTAAAGAAATACTTATATATATTATCAAATATCTAAAATTAAAAGGTGTGGAGTAGTCACTACTCAGAAGATTAGGTTAGTCAAGTAGTTGTCTAAAGGACATTAGGAGTCTGACATGCAGCCTGCTGTGAAAGTAGCAAGTGAACCTGGCCTCACAGACAAGAGGCAAGCAGGCCAGATAATAGAGGCCATTGTAATGAGCAGGTAGGGAAGGAGACAAGCAATGTGTTCCCATTATAAGATTGCAGAACAGAACTGCTAAGTTAAGCCATTAAGTAAATTATATCCAATCTGTCTTTTGAATTGATGCCTTAGCTTTTTATTTTTTATTTTTTTATTTTTTTTGCCTTAGCTTTTTAATAAGATATATTTCATTTTAAAGGAAAAAACAAGATGTTCTTGGCCTTAGACATATTCTCTGAGTGATCCTAGATATTTCTTAGCCATACCTACCCACATAGATTGTCCTGATAAGCAAGACCGACGCTTTGCTTTTCCTTTTAATTTTTGTTCTTTCTTTTTGTGATTGAGTACTTAGCACAAGATAAAGAGAGGTTGTTAATCAAATTTGTTTCAAGTGAGAGCATTTGGACATAGACACGTATGCAGCTAGAGCAATATAAAAATTACTTTTGAATGCTCTTGGTTAGAGCACTAAATTTCTACATTGCCTCTGAAATAGTTTTAAAAATAAAAGATTTTTTTCAGTTAATTATTGGCAGTGAATCACTAACATATATTTTATTATTTACCTGTTTCTCTCTTGGAAAAGTCAATATAGAATATACTTTTGAGAGAAGTCAAAAGAAGAGTCCTAGATATCATATTGATGTATGTTTAACCATATTTTTAAAGACATTGCTGACCTTTTTTGTGACCTAGCCCTAATTAAATCTAACGTGACTTCATATCAGATTTGTATTACCACATGTACATGAGTACATCGGTTAACATTAAAATACATATTAAGAGCATAGATATGACAATGAACTTAGTTAAAAGATTTCTTAAAGTGAATTTTGGATCTGATACAGGCATATTGTTTTAGGTATATTCTCAGTGTAGAATTTAGAACTAATAACAATGATTAAGAGTGTTAATTTGCTGTACTAACCCATTTTTTATATAACCTAAAGATGGAAACTTAAGTAATGTTCAAGTCTGATATAATCCATATAAGCAACATCTGTCAGCAAGCACATGGTCATTGTTATATAGCCAAACTCTGAAAATAGAAATAACTTGTAAAAATATAACTAAATTCGATCTTAGATGCTTCAGATTTAGAATCTGAGACTATTGTAGGCATTTTCTAAGCAGTTTGTAGAAATTCAAAAACAAAAGAAAACCCATAAAATATTGTAGCAAGGTGTAACAATAGTTTACTGCCCTGGAATTAAACTCTCTGGCAGCTTTCCCACTGACCTAGTTGGGAATCTGGAATTAAATTTAAAAGGCCCCTAGCTAGCCAAAATAAACAAACCCATGCACTTTTAAAAACTATGTACATACAATAGCCAATTGATCCTCTCTCAGAGTCTGTTTACTTTTACTTTGATATTTCATACAGGATTGATGATCTGATTTCCAAACATTTATGCTTCAGAACATTAAAAGAGGAGAGGTATAGGGGAGATAAAAATAGAAGCAGGTATTGCCTAAGCCAGTCAAAAGAAGTAGTTTACAGCAAAGGAAGAAGTGACATAAGGGAAGAAGCGAGATAAAAACCAGAAAGAGGCCATTTCATGTAAAAGCAGATATTCTTACACATTTCAGGTCTGCTTTCTAGCTTAGAACATTTTGTTTTTTTTTTTTTTTTTTTTTTTTTAATTATTTATTTATTTATTTATGATAGTCACAGCGAGAGAGAGAGAGAGAGAGAGAGAGAGAGAGAGAGAGAGAGAGAGAGGCAGAGACACAGGCAGAGGGAGAAGCAGGCTCCACGCATCGGGAGCCCGACGTGGGATTCGATCCCAGGTCGCCAGGATCGCGCCCTGGGCCAAAGGCAGGCGCCAAACCGCTGCGCCACCCAGGGATCCTAGCTTAGAACATTTTGATTTCATAATCAACTCATCACTGAGTCCTCAAGAAAAGGTTAAATTCTGTTTAATTTTGCATTTCTACTTAAGTTTTCACCCAAAGTAGTTAAAATGATTAATGCATTAAATAATCTCTGAATTACTTTGTGAACTTGGCTATCCAAAATGGTTTCAGGTAATTGAGGTGTTGACTTTGGTACTGTTGCTAGTACCAAAAGTGTTAAGAGAACACAGAAATAAAGGTAAATTGCAAGGCTTGGCATGGCTTGGGGGACATCCTCCTGTCTTCTTCCTCACAAGAATGTTTTTCCTAGTAGAGCACAATTCTGTCTTATAATAGAAACTGAAAACATAGAATTCACTTTCATTAAATTTCTTCTGTTTTACCAAAATTCTTATCCATTTTATTGTTGTCTTATTTAATGACCATTGAGACTCTAATAACCTGAGGGATCTTTTACCTTTGTCTCTTCCCAGGGCCATCCTTTTGTTAAACACAGTCAGTTTATGCTACCAAGATAAGCTGATAGAACCTAAATTTGACAGATAGATAGCAAGGTAGGAAGGAGGATAAATAGATTGGCCTGATAAGACTAATTAGAAACATAGACAATGGACAGATAACACTGAATACTTTGCTGTGTGATAAAGCTACATGGTTCTTTTTTGAAAAGAGCATATACCCCATTTGAATTGAAAGAGTCAAATATGATTAATACTGAAATCATTCTGACCATTGTGAGCATGTATATAATTAAAATCCTGAGTTTTAGATTGCAGGAACTGAGAAAAAAAGAGATAAAAATAAGGTCTAGTCATTCCAGGAGGCTTGCTGCATGAAATGCGAATTGAATCAGTCCTTTAAGAAACAAAAGAATTTGGAAAATGGAGAGGAAAGGGGAAGGAAGGCATTTTTAGCTTGTATGAAGAATAGGCAAATGAATAGAGGTAAAAATAAATATATAAGGGGGATTAAAAGGACACTTGATATTGGATAAATATGGCAGACAATGATTTTGGAAGACATAGGATGTTAGTTGAGAGAATTTTGATTTAGATTTTTAACATCGTAGATGATAAGATAGTAAAGAGACCAAGTAGGTTCTTGAAGGGTGAGAAGTGTAATAACTTCTAAGGTTAGTTCAAATTCAGATACATGCCAAATCAATTCTACATTGCAAACTTTATGTCTTTTACCTCGAAGAGGAAGAGGAGGTAGATTTGGAAAGTAAGAAGGGCTTTGCAAAGAGAACAGATGGGATGTTTATTTTATCCACTGAAGTACTTTAGTACTTAAACCTGTAGTGGGGGGAGCATAGACTCTTTTTTTTAAAAAATCTTTTGAAAAACTGTGGGCCCTTTCTTCAGAAAAATGTAAAAGCACATTTTTAAAACCCTGTGTATAATTTCTGTCGGTTTACAGATTATAAATTAAGGATCCCTGTACTAAACTAAGCTCTTTTAAGGAAGAAATTGTCTCTTCTATCTCTGTATTCCTAGCATTTGTATCCCTAACATTTGTTGGATAAATGAATAACTTTTAGGTAAAGTTTTTCTTACACTTGGGACTTGGGGTGCTCTCTTTATCTGCCAAAGAAACTGTGTCTCTGGAAGTGTCTCAGACACCATCCCAAGCCCAAAAGTTTTTTCTCTGTGTTTTGTGGCTCTTACCTTATATTATAGTAAGAGATGCCTGTTGCTGACCTCCTGCCCTGTTTGTGGCCAGGTTCTTTGCTCAGTGTGTCACCTTTTCTTATAAATTCTTTTTGAAGCAGATATTTTTGTCCCTATTTTACAGGCGAGGAAATTGATATCAAGGCCTCAAAGTGAACAGAATAAAGATTTGGACTTACTTATTAAATTGCTTTTCATATTTGTTTAGATGTCTGTTTCCCCCTCTGTTCAAAACTCAAAAATGGCAGAGACCTTCTTCCATCATTTTATATATCCAGGGTCTGGTACAATGTCTGACACATAAGACATTTTCAGTCAATTTGGTTTAAAGATACACGTAAGTAAGTGAATCTATACAAAATATTTTTATTATTTTTTTGTGGGCCTTAAAGTTCTTTATTACAGAGACTTTAAAGTTCTGATTTTTTTCTTAATATTATAGGATCTTCTAGGAAAGGAATTTTATGTTTTGCTTTTTGGTGCCGTCAGAAGGTCATACACTGGCTTGGCACAGGACGAGCCCTCATTCAGTGCTTTTTGATTTAACTGTTAATATATTGAAACATTTTGAAAAAATGCAATATTATTCAAATATAAACTAGTGAGATTAATGAATTCATTTAACATATTTCTGACTTAGGCACTGTCTCAATAGAGTTCATTTGGGGTTTAACTTATTGAGCTAGATTTAACATACACAGTATTCTTGGGTCTGAAATGTCTCCATTTAGGAAGGCCATTAATTTTTTCTTTTTTACTCAAAGGTACACATAGTAATTGACTCACCTTTATATTGCAAGTATGTCTTATGTTATATGTTCTAAATACACTTGAATGACGTTTTTGTTGTACGTTGCCTAAATTTCTCCCTGGCTTACTTACTAGGTAGACATTTCTGTTTTTTTCTCCTTTTAGGATAGGGTTATTTTCACTTATTCTTTTCAGTAGTAGAAATTTATATGACTAGAGAAAATACAGTGATTTTAGATTTATGATTTTTTTTTTAAGAAAATAGAATAAGAAAATATAAAATATCTCCTAAATTTTCAGAGTCCACGTTTTGGGCATATCTGAGACTGGTCGTCTTTTGGGCTTGTGAAGACTCTTAGGTTCTGCCTGAAAATCAGTTCTAGAGTAGGGCTCATTTATGAATTATAATTTAAAAGAGGTATTATTTGTATGTATTTTTACATCATAATGGTCTCTAACCTCAACAACTGGGCAGATGTAGTATTTGCATTTTAGGCACAAGTCATCTAGCAGGAAGTGGTAATATTTAAAACCAGATTTCCCAGGGCTTATGTTGTTTTCCCTCCCTGTCTCAATTTGGTTACTTTAGTGTTTAAAAAGCATAAACTTGTTCCAAACAAATGCCAGATTCATCAGGGCGGCACTTTTAAAATGTTAAATTGTTTGATATTTATCTCTGATTACATTAAATGTATGGTATATGTTTCATTTTTGCCTAGGTAAATATGCTGAAGATATATTTGGAGAATTGTTTAATGAAGCACATAGTTTTTCCTTCAGAGTTAACTCATTACAAGAACGTGTGGACCGTTTATCTGTTAGTGTTACACAACTTGACCCTAAAGAAGAAGAATGTAAGTTTTATTCATATTTTCTTTCACATGTATTTTAGGTTTGATGAGATGAGCAATATATTGAAAAACAGTATTAAACTCAGATTTTATTAGGGGTGTTTTTTTACTCATGGCCTTTGATCTTCGTGTTGTAATAAATCAGTGAATTATCTATAAATAGTAGTATGACTCTCCTGGCTTTTCTATTCTCTTTCTTTTTGCTTCTTTTTGTGTATTAAATAGCTTTTAATTTTTTGACATAAAAAAGATTTTAAGATTTTATTTATTTATTTATTTATTTATTTATTTATTTATGAGAGCACAAGGAGGGAGGGGGAGGGAGAGAGGGACAGAGAGAGAGAGAGAGAGAGAGAGAATCTCAAGCAGACTCCACCCTCCACCAACAAAGTGTGGAGGGTACAGAACTCATACAGAGCTCAATCTCATGCCTATGAAATCATGACCTGAGCTGAAATCAAGAGTTGGACACTTAACCAACCTAGCCACTCAGGTACCTATGACATAAAAACATTTTTAGCTAGACTTTTTCTCTATTCTTTTTTCATTTCTTCTTTATAATTTATTTGTATAGTTTTGTCCCAGAAATAAAAATTGTTGAAAATCACTTGAAATTTTTAGGTTTTATTCTGTTATAATTCCTTTTAATATTCTTTTACGTGTACATATTGTTAAATTACTAAACTCTAATTATTTGAATGTTATTCCTCACTTTAAATAACCATTTCTCAAAAAAACCAAATTGCCTGTATGTAGGACAAAAGTATTCTATACTGAGTATTAAACCAGGGATATCAGGTGTAAAACAATATATTACAGTCTGAAATAATGGTAAAAACTTTAGTTGTAAAACAACATTTTATACTTTGATAGAATTCACTGAGAACTCTTGTGTCTCAAATTCCTCTTGGTTTTTTTTTTTTTTTTTTGGTGGTTATTTCCCTTACAAAAAAAGAAATGGAACTATTCAGAACATAATTTCTACATTTTGCCTAGAGAATTATTTAATGTATGTCTCTTATAACCTTTTCTTCAGAATATTTTCTTGCTGAATAACATTTTTAGTATAAGTGCAAGTTATATAATAGACCTAAACTTGAATGAAAATAATAGAAGCTATCACTGGAAAAAGCAAAAAATAGAGTGTAATAATAGATAGCTTCATGATTGAACCAACTTCTTTTGATGTAACCTAATTTAAAACCTAAATAAGTAGACAAGTACCGTGTTAAATTTCTATGCTTCCAAAGATATAAACTCAGATCTGGATGTGAAAAATTCAAAACAATACTTTTTCTTCTTGAACAGCATTAATGAGATATATTTCATTGCCCTACATTTAACCTGTCTAAAGTTAGTGTACAACTCAGTGGTTTTTAGTATATTCACAGAGTTACACAACTATCAGCATAATCAATTTTAGAACATTTCATCGCCCAAAAAAAAACATCCATATATCCATTAGCAGTCACTCTCTATTTTCCCTTTCCCCCAGCCTCAAGCAATCACTAATCTACTTTCAGCCCCTATGGATTTACCTATTCTAGACATTTCTTATGAATGGAATCATGCAGATGTGGCCATTAGTGATTGACTGATTTCATTTAGCCTAATGTTTTCATTATTGGTTCATGTTGTGGAATGTATTTGCATTTCCCTCATGATTAATGATGTTGAGCATTTTCTCATGGCTTGTAACCATTTAGAGACAAGTGATCCAGCAGGAAGTGGTAGAGCTAGGATTTAAAATCACTGTTTAAGTGACTTATCAGATGTATATCTTCTCTGGAGGTTGTTTTACCATTTTTAAGTTGAAATATTTTTTTTTCTTGAGTTTTAAGAATTCTGTGTATATGCTTGGTCCAAGCCTCTTATCAAATACATGATTTACAAATATTTTCTCCCATTCTCTGGGTGTTTTTTCTAAGTGATATCTTTTTGAAGCATGTACATGTATATTAATCATACTTCATGAAATTCTTGAAATAATTGCTACTAGTGGAAAAATATTTTATGACCATACTTTCAAATATATAATTTACCTCCAAACTTTCTAAAGTTAAACACTTAAGTTATAAATATATGCCATCTAATATCAAAAATACAGAGGTAGTTCCTATATGTAACAAAAATCAACGGTTTCAAAATGCTGTTAAATTTTTTTTTAAGATTTTATTTATTTATTCATGAGAGACACAGAAAGAGGCAGAGATACAGGCAGAGGGAGAAGCAGGCTCCATGCAGGGAGCCTGACGTGGGATTCGATCCCGGGCCTCCAGGATCCCGCCCTGGGCCAAAGGCAGGCGCCAAACCGCTGCGCTACCCAGGGATCCCTTGATAATATTTTCTTTATGGTAAAGTTTGTTTTAAGTTTGAAGCATATGTATAATATTTATAGTGTAAATATATCATAGAGGCCAACAGTATGTTTAGTCCAGAATGCCGCTGAGGACTAAGTAATTCCTTCAGTGTTACTGGTATAAGCTAAATAAAAGTAATAAAGGGAAATGGGAAAAAAGATAATTAAAAAAAGGAAGAAGAAAATGTGGGTTGGTGGGGGCTGGGGATGGCAAATAGGAAAAAGATATTTGATGAGAAATGTAGACATGCTTTAGGTATGCAATTAGAGCCTTTGAGCCTTAAAAATCAAAGATGCCTTCAAACATTTCTGGTTAGAATGATATTGGAATATTGGAGCATTTAAAATGTGGTGCCTGATTCATAAGCCACTATAGTCACAACTTCCTGAGCTGTGCTGATGCTTAAATACAGTATGTGAATTTGCCTTTATATTAAATCCCACTTAGTAAAATAAATAAAGTACATTTTTTATTTTTGTTTTAGTGTCTTTGCAAGATATAACAATGAGGAAAGCTTTCCGAAGTTCTACAATTCAAGATCAGCAGCTTTTTGACCGCAAGACTTTGCCTATTCCATTACAGGAGACATATGATGTTTGTGAACAGCCTCCACCTCTCAATATACTCACTCCTTATAGGTCAGTGGGCTAATAAACATGAAGGCTGGCTATTTACTGTTGGCTTTCAGTCCAAATAAGTAGCAGTCTACCTTTAAATGCCAAATCCACAAACATTCTTTATGTCAGTGGGCTTTTTACCAACACAGAGAACCCTCCTTATCCATCACCTTTAGAAAACTTGCTTTATTCACTAGGTGCATTCCCAAGGTTCTGGCATACAAAAGACAAGACTTATTCAAGGGAGCTGTTTTGAGAAGTATTATTAATCAAAGCCAGTGGCAAACTTATTAATATGAAGGGACAACTTATTAATATGAGTTACTGTCTTTTTAATGTAATAGCTGGTTAGATAAAAATAAAAAAGAGCTCAAAATTCCACCCCACTAACAAAATAAATACCATTTTTGCTTGCTCATGCCTACTCTTGATCTATATGCATTAAGATTCTACAAGATGAATGTGCAGTATCTATTTTAAAAATATTTTTTATCATTTAAAATAAAATCTGGAATTCCTCAGGCTTTCTTTCAGGATACTTTCACATGATTTGTTAGGTGGATAATTTAAGATACATAACACATATCTGGAATGAAATGGTATTCAGATATTTATTTGAAACTTTTGTCAGTATGCAAGTCATTGAATAAAAATAACTGTTACTACTAGAATGAGTTTTAAAGGATATTTTTGGGGTTTGGTGAAGTAATAAGTAAATTAGAGTATGGGCAGAAACTCTGTATAATTTCTTTATTCTAAATGATGTTGTCTTTTCAGGCTTTTATCTTTGGCAGAACCTTTTTTAACTATTGGAATTTTCTAGATGACTTCTAGAAAAGTTGGTGTTCAGCACAAGTTAGGGATGAAAATTGTCCCAGCTGTTCTTCAGATTAGTAATCTGAAAAAACCTGGTTTTCCATTTTCCTTAGTTTTTTTGTCTGATTCGTGACAAATATTTTATTGATGAAGCATTCTAATTTACTTTGCCAATATTTTTACATTTGCTGTATTTCATTGATATAGGAGAAAAAACATTTTAGTAAAATTATTCTGATTGCCTAAGTCTTACTGATATATGTTTTGATAATTTATATTTCAGAGATGATGGCAAAGAAGGTTTGAAGTTTTATACCAATCCTTCATATTTCTTTGATCTATGGAAAGAAAAAATGTTGCAAGATACAGAGGATAAAAGGAAGGAAAAGAGGAAACAGAAGGTATTACAAGAGATTGAAAAAATTGAAGTTAGTTTTAGTGTATTTGTGTTTTGTTGCATACATGGAACTTTATTAAGCTTCTGCTTTGACAGTTTTATACTGAAATCTTTATAACCATACAGGAAGATCACAGTCTAACGGAGAAACAGATGAGCAGTCAGATTATTATAATATGGTATGATAAGTGCCATTACAGAGGTATGCGTGGAGGCTTTAGGTAGAACAAAACAGCATCTGCTTTAGCCAGAGGACAGGGTTGGTAAATACTTGAAACAAAGCTTACAATAAATATTTCAGAACAAATAGTAGTGAAATGGACCAAGGAAGAAAAGGGCACTCTGGTAAAAAAGGATGAAGGAATATTGTGCGGATATTAGCAAAGTAGATTAAGCTAACATTTTCTTACACAGATCATATCCTAAGTGTTATGGAAAGATTATTTTATATTCTCACTAAACTCCTGTTATCTATCTGCTGTGTTGCCATTTTCTACTTTGTAATAAAATTCACTTGGATCTTCTTTATTCCATGTTGATGATAATAGAAGTAAAGAAGGAGGAAGCAAAATTGGTATTTAGGCAGAATTATGAAGGAAGTAAATTCTGTTTTCATCATCCCTCTGTTTCTCCTGTACTTCTCTCGCTCCTCCTTCCCTTTCCCTATAATGCCTTCATGTTATTATTTTCTGTACTAGACAGTATCCTGGCGTTCTAGCCAGTGTTCACAAACTAGTGACTGGCAGCTCAGATTATGCCTGCAGTCAGTGCTTTGTTCGACAAACCCAGTGGTTTTAAAATGCTGAACTGGAAAGCCTTAGATGGACATACCTGTTTATTCATTGCAATCCCCATCTTAGACCTGACTTTCTTCATTCATGTATGCCATCTGCCTGGCCCCTGTAGGCGTTTGACTTTGCTATACCGACTCTAGACCTCTCTATGCTTTCTCCCACAATTAGAATTATTTTGTGTTTTATTTTTTGAATATCCTGTTTTCTGTTGAGTGACACAGTTATTATGGGTTAATTGCATAATTGTATTGGCTGGCTAATGGGTCACTTTCCAGATTATGTATCCTTAATAAATTTTCGGGTTTTGGTGAGAGATAGTGCCATTAGTGATAGAAATATCACTCATTGCAAAAACTAATAGATATGGGAGCAGAGTTGGTGAATCTTTTTTCATCTGAAAGGATTTTCTGACCTCAAATTTTATTATTTAGGCATACAATTCAAATTAGAAGTTAAAGAAACATGACAAGAAATTGGGATTGCAAGCCAACTAGCTAAGATTTAACTATGAATGTGCAAATGAACTGTCCTTGTGTTACTTTAACTATATTATGAGGGCATTGTCTTTTTCAGTATTAATATTCTAATTTTATTTTGATTGTTATAACTTCTTTTAAAAACTTAGCACTTCAGCATTTGGCTTTTTTTCAATACATCTGTTACAGCAGAAAAATCTAGATCGTCCTCATGAGCCAGAAAAAGTGCCAAGAGCACCTCATGACAGGCGGAGAGAATGGCAGAAGCTGGCCCAAGGTCCAGAGCTGGCTGAAGATGATGCTAATCTCTTACATAAGCATATTGAAGTTGCTAATGGCCCAGCCTCCCATTTTGAAACAAGGTTTCGTTTCTTTTGTTTGTGTTTTAACAAAATTAATGATAAAATACTGGATTTATTTCTAATATCCAAGCCTCTAAGTCTTAGGTCCTGAACCAGCAGACCCTGCTTTAAGCTATAGAAATACTTTTGAAACCCTGACCAGTGTGAGCCTTTTAAACTCTGATTTTGGGCAGGCCATTTTCATACCTGGATTTTAGTTTTGTCATCTACAGAAAGAGGTGGTTGGAATTGATGATCTTCAGCATTGTTTTAGCTTTCCTATGAAGTCCCCTTGTTCTCTCTTCAGGCAGAGTCTGCTAGAATTTCGTAATAGAGGAATGGGGTCTAGAATTTTTTTGAGATATTACTGATATACTACATATAAAATCAGAGCTGAAAAAGGGTAATATTTTGTTCCTTTTTCTTTCTCCTGACTCCCTTTCTGTGTCACATGTCCCACCTCAGTTACATCAGGACTTTTAAACAAAATTACTCATCTCCTTTTGCAGAACTATAGAATAGGTCTTTTTCCTTTCTTAGTAGCCATTGGCCCATCTAAATAACATGCTACCCTAACTAAACATTATATGAGCATCTCTCTGTGAAGGAATTTGTATATAGTTGAATGAGCATAGTTATTATATATATTATAACATTGATTTTTAAATGGAGGAAGCTTAAAGTTTTCTTTGGAATAATACATGTAAATTATTAGGCTAATATCTTGGCCAGTTTTAGTAGTAATTATATATAAGATATTTATATGCATTACTGAAAAATAAAGACTGAAAGGATTTATTTTTTAAAAATCTATAGATAAATATTTTTTTCTACTAGTATTAAGTATTACGATATTACCTGACCCAGTGTAAATACAATACAGTTGATCCTTGAACAATGCAGGGATTAGGGCCACCCTGTGTAGTTGCAAATCCACGTGTAACTTTTGACTCCCCAAAAATTTAACTACCAATAGCCTACTGTTGACCAGAAGCCTTACTGAGAACATAAATAGTCATGTAACATATTTTGTATGTCATGTATATTATATAGTGTATTCTTATAATAAAGTAACCCACAGAAAAAATGTTAAGAAAATCATTTAAAAAATACATTTACAGTGATGTGCCGTAAAAAAACCCTCATATAAGTGGACGTGCTCAATTCAACCCTGTGTTCAAAGACAGCCATTATTTCTTTTTGTACATTTGTCCCCAGCATGCATTGCAGTCAGTAAATATTTGTAAATCTTCACATGCTCAAGGCATCTAAAGTTTTGCTTAAATTTGATCTTAAGTCACATGTTGCTTTGTAACTCCATTATTTTCTGAGTACCCTGCCTACCATCTTTGAAAACACTGAAAAGACAAAACAATGTAGTTAGCCATCTCTGTGGTGCTAGTTATCATGGAGGCCCTTCTCACTGATACAAAACATTCAGAAGTCATGTAGGCTTAAAGAGGTAGATATCCCAATGGTAGAAAATTGTAGTTTCCATATTCCAGCTTTTTATCATTGGTATCTTGTTTTAAAGAAAAAAAATGAAATAGGGGCTGATAACTTTGAACACAATTTGCCAAAAATTACTTTTCTTGTTTATACTATTCTATATATAATACTTTTTATCCTTGTGAATTGAATTAGTATTATAAAATAAATAACCGCAAGGAAAGTTTGCATTGTGAGCAGTGTTCTTTATTTTAAAAGCAAAAGGAATGTAATTTCCGAAGTTTCTTAGTAGTGGTTAAAATATTGGCATTCAAAAGATACATGTTAAATATCTCCTGTAGAACACTTTACCAGTAATTCAAGAAAAGTACACTGATACTGTTTTTTTGTTTTTGTTTTGTTTTGTTTTTTTCTAGACCTCAGACATATGTGGACCATATGGATGGATCTTACTCACTATCTGCTTTGCCATTTAGTCAGATGAGTGAGCTTCTGACTAGAGCTGAGGAAAGAGTCTTAGTGAGACCACATGAACCTCCTCCACCTCCACCAATGCATGGAGCAGGAGATGCCAAACCCATACCCACTTGTATCAGGTATGTGGGGACTGACACATGATATTTGTTCTCAGAGGTTGGTAACCTTTTTAATTTTTTAAAGGACCGGTTAGTAAGTATTTTAGGCATCGTGGGCATATGGTTTCTGTAACAGCTACTCAACTCTGCCATTGTTGCATGAAAACAGCCATAGACTATATATAAATAAATGACTTTATGTTTCAACAAAGCCTTATATATAAAAGTGGAGAGCAGGTCAAATTTGGCCTGTGGGACGTAATTCGCCAGCCTCTTAAGAGCTGACCCATTCTCTTGGGAAAATTTAGCAAATGAGAATTTACTTTAAAAGTTAAAGTATGCTTCATTTTATTATAGCTTTATTATCAAGCACATGATGTACAGTATATTAATAAAAATTAAGAATTTTTGGAATGTGGCAAGGGACTAAGAAATGGGAACCAAAAATGTGATTCTGTGTGTTAATTTGGTGTAATGGGGAATACTCTGAAAATTTGAGAGAGAATAAGCAATTGCTCATAATAATCTTTCAGTAAAGCAATTTTGAAGTTTAATTTTGTCCATTGTTACCCAGATTATAAAATTTCTAATAGGTAGATATCAGCTTTATAATTTTCAGTTAAAAAATCAACCTTCTATCATTGAGTCAATTTGATGTTCCATCCTCAGGAAGAAAGAGAGCCATAAATTTCCTTTTGTGGTTTGTAATTAGTGGTTATTGATCTATCTGCAAACGACATATGAGGAGTCTTAATAGCTTCAATATCAATGCAGCATTGTAATGGGCACAGGTATTGCTACAAATATCGTAATATGATAAATGTTGAGTCATTATAAAGACTCCTATCACAGCATAAAATTAGCATTTTATATATCAAAGTAGCATAAAATGCTTGAGTGTATATGACAGGTGCATGGAAGGATGAGACCATTTAGAATGTGACAAACGAAAGCACCACCTATTAATTTTCTTGTTGGTGTATTCCTTTCATCCTAAACACTGAAGAATTTTTAATTTTTATAAGAACATCTACCCTTTTATAATTACTGGTAGTCATATATTTCATGTGGTTTTTTTCTCTTTTAATAACTCGTTAGGACTTCTTTATCATTTCAGTTCTGCTACAGGTTTGATAGAAAATCGCCCTCAGTCACCAGCTACAGGCAGGACACCTGTATTTGTGAGCCCCACCCCCCCACCTCCTCCACCACCTCTTCCATCTGCCTTGTCAACTTCTTCATTAAGAGCTTCAATGACTTCAACTCCTCCCCCACCCGTCCCTCCCCCACCTCCACCTCCGGCCACTGCTTTGCAAGCTCCAGCAGTACCACCACCTCCAGCTCCTCTTCAGATTGCCCCTGGAGTTCTTCACCCAGCTCCTCCTCCAATTGCACCTCCTCTAGTACAGCCCTCTCCACCAGTAGCTAGAGCTGCCCCAGTATGCGAGACTGTACCAGTTCATCCACTCCCACAAGGTGAAGTCCAGGGGCTGCCTCCACCCCCACCACCGCCTCCTCTACCTCCACCTGGCATTCGACCATCCTCACCTGTCACAGTTGCAGCTCTTACTCATCCTCCCTCTGGGCTACATCCAGCTCCATCTACTGCCCCAGGTCCCCATGTTCCATTAATGCCTCCATCTCCTCCATCACAAGTTATACCTGCTTCTGAGCCAAAGCGTCATCCATCAACTCTACCTGTAATCAGTGATGCCAGGAGTGTACTTCTGGAAGCAATACGAAAAGGTAATTTCCTCCTGGCCCTTAAAAGCATTGCTATGGTAGATTAGAAACTTTCTAAGTATTTGACACAACAGTTTCCTCACTTACAAAATTTTATTTGATCCTGTTTTTGCATAAATGGTTTTTAGAAAAGAAATCTATGTTCAACTCACTTTAAATCATTTTCCAGAAAATATATCACATTCAATTATTTTTTCATACTTCAGTAGAGATTCTTAAAATGTTTATTGAATAAATGAGAAATTAAAAGCAAAGACAAGTTACAGAAAATTTAGTTAAATCCCTTTATATTATGTTTAATATATATATTAACTCCTTTAAAAATGGTATTTTCTTCAGTGTTAAGGCTGTCCATTTGGTATATCAGTGACACTTGCCCTACCAGATAACCTTTGTAGAATTAAAGTTCCTCCTTTAGTAACAAAGGAAAGACCTCTCATATTCATTCATGTATTCAGCCAGCATTTCCAAAGCACCTACTATAAGTCAGGAACTAGCAGTATAGAATAAATAATAGTACCTTTCCCTCAAATACTGGGGAGAATAAAGCCATAGAAAATATACTCAACAACGTTTATTTGACCACTGGTTAACTTTTTAGGGGAGGTGCTGAGTAGGGAGGCACAGTAGACCATCATGGCTGCATAGACTGTAGATATCCACTAGGATAGCTGGCAAGTTTGACCAGCTAGTATTACAGATAATGAAAGAATTTATTGACCAAATTAATATGATTCTAAATATGATCCCTTCAAATTCTTTTTAATAGCTCTTGCTTTTCACTTTCCTGTTAGTATTTGATTTTATTCCAGAAAGATTAATAGTATGTAGTATTGTATCAATTTACAACAAATGCTTTGGCTTTTCTGTACCAGGTATTCAGCTACGCAAAGTAGAAGAGCAGCGTGAACAGGAAGCTAAACACGAACGCATTGAAAATGATGTTGCCACCATCCTGTCTCGCCGTATTGCTGTGGAATATAGTGATTCAGAAGATGATTCAGAATTTGATGAAGTAGATTGGTTGGAGTAAGAAAAATGCATTGATAAATATTACAAAACTGAATGCAGACGTCCTTTGTGGTGCTTGTTCTTTGAAAATGTTTGGTCATTCCAGTGTTTTGCTTTCTTTTCCTTATGATAAATAACCCTTTTCCTCCATAATTTTTGATTTCTAAGAAAATATTAGCATACATTTCAAACTAAATGTTTTACAGTGGCTTATCTTTTTTATTTTTTCCCTGAAAAGATAATTTGGTCAAATAAACCACTAAGTATTAAGCATGGACAGCCGTTGTTAGAGTAGCAGATTCAGTTTTTTGATATATCTTAATTGTGCACTTTGTGAATTTTAATTTAAAGAAAGCAACTGAGATTGAAATCTTGAGGGCAGCTGTATCTATTAATGAGCCTTATTCCATTTCCTGATGTTTTAAAAGAAGAAACACTGCCTTGATTATATGAATACACTCAGAAAGTACATTTAGCTAGTAGTATTGAATTCTCTTAAAGGAATGCTTGAATTTTTTTTTAATTATTGTTTTACCGTTTTTAAATACTTGCCTTATTTGAATGTTTAGCGGTACCCCCCTTCCCACTTATATATTGTGTGGTACGATTTTGCTTGCCTATAAGAGTTTAAAAAATTTCCATGTGAAATACTCTGACATAAACATACATGTAACTTACATTAACTGTTAAGAATAACAGTCTGATTTAATAAATGGTTCATTTTAAAGGTTCATAGGTGTTGCTCTTTGAATAAATTATTTCTGGTAATTCATCAAATATATATAAAGTAGGCTTTTAATACATAGATAGTAAGCAAAAGATTTAAAAACCACGTAAGCTATATAGTTTCCGCTTAATTATATAGATTCACATTGGTAGGATAGCTTTTATATCATTTTTTCCTAAGGTCACAAAATCAACATTTTTCAACTCCTCATGCTCTTAAAAAATCTCAGCTTGCTGTCTAATTTCAACACACCTTGTCTTTAACAGCATTCTTGAAATCATATTTTATAATGATAAAGTGAGTTGTTAATGTTTACCTAATCCAGATTATGGATGGAGGGAAAGCAGCATTAATATTAGATTGTTTAATGTGAAGTTTTTGTAGTTGGACTATAAAAGTGACTGCAGTCTTCATCTTTTTACAATGCTGTCTCTGGTTCCTCCCATCAAGAGATGGGGTTTTTTTCTCACCTCCCTTAAATCTGAGTGATGCTGAGACAATAATAGATAGCTGATAGATGAGGTCATTGGCAACTTGATAATTTGGGGGTTATTTAGGTAGATAACTAATTACCTATACTCTTTGTGGAATAAGAATGAGGAACTAAGTTCTGTTGTGGCAATAGTTAGGACTTTAAAAAAAACAAACTAATAGCTCTAATTAACAAAAGATTTGCTTTGTTCTTTTGGGTAGCTTTGCCTGGAATAAGAGATTAGATATATAGTGAGGGTGCTTCCATGGCTCAGTTGATTAAACATCTGACGTTAGTTTCTGCTCAGGTCCTGATCTCAGGGTCATGAGATTGAGCCCCGAGTTGGGCTCTGTGCTGAGGGTGGAGCTTGCTTAAGATTCTTTTCCTCTCCTGGGATCCCTGGGTGGTGCAGCGGTTTAGCACCTGCCTTTGGCCCAGGGCGCCATCCTGGAGACCCGGGATCGAATCCCATGTCGGGCTCCCGGTGCATGGAGCCTGCTTCTCCCTCTGCCTATGTCTCTGCCTCTCTCTCTCTCTCTCTCTCTCTCTCTCTCTCTCTCTCTCTCTGTGTGTGACTATCATAAATAAATAAAATAAATTTAAAAAAAGATTCTTTTCCTCTCCCTTTGCCCTTCCCCCCACCCTTTTGCCCCTCCCACACATGCACATTTGCTCCCTCTCTCTCTAAAAAAAAGATTGGATAGTGATTAGAAGTTTCTTTCAACTTTACAAAAATATATAGTGATGAAGTCAACTCAAGAAAATATGATACAATTTAAAGTATCTTATTAAAATAAATAAATAAATAAAGTTTATCTTATTAAGTGTGCTTATGGTCAAAAAGGCAGTGGCGGTATATAGTTTTTGTAAAGCTCAGTTGTGGCCAGCAATCAAAATGTAATGGTACTAGCACTGAAGTAGTTCAGGGTGATAAAAAAAGGAAATGGCTGAAGATTTCTTAATAATAGAAGTGGATCTGTTTTAAAGCTTGGCAGTATGTAACCTAAATAGTTTATGAGATTATTTTGTTTTTCAGAACATTCCTGAAAGATAAGAAAGTGCCTGTAGACGGAAGAGGCCATATATGTCATATCTATTTTGAAAGCAATATAACCTTTCACTCTAGATATTTATTCAGCTTAACTTGGTGAGAGAATTTTGGAGCAACTATTCAGTGGTCAATTTTAATACCCTAAGAAGAATGAAAGTTATTGGATAATTACTTCTTCTTATTGAATTATACCACTAGGTATAATTCTATATTCTATATTCCACTAGGTCATGGAACATAGAGGCAGGAAGAAAAATGAATTGTATATCATGGAGAAATAAATTGACTTCCCTTGTTTTGGTCAAAATTGTCACCCATTTACCTCCATATTACCAAATTCAACAAATACTTTTTCTTCCCTAAGTTATTTGACTGGCTGTATATATTAAATACATACAGAATATATTCTGTGTATATTTTTCATTTTCACTCCACTGTTCCTTGAAGCTGCCTCTAGCTTTTTTGTGTGATGCTATCCTTGCCCTTCACAATAATGATAGCAGCAGTGGAGTTTAGGATGATATTCAGTCATTATAGAGGGAAAGAGAGTGTGTCTATAACTTTTTCTAAGGAATATTTGTAAGCTCCATGTTTATAAGTAATTTTAAGCTATAACCACTGCTTTCTTTTTAAAACTTATTTAGTTAGGCAGATGAGATGACTTCTGAACATTTTGTGTGTAATAAATATTTATTAAAAGACAAGGAAAGTGTCCTTTTGGATTGTGTTCTGTAAATTATGAAACACCTCCTTTTATTTCCACTTTCAGAAAGCCCTACCCTTTTTTCAGCATCTATTTCATATCCTTATTTTCATGAAGTCTTCTCAGATCACAACTGGAGTTCATATATATTCCTTTTCAACTTCTCTAATTTTTTATTGTAAACTTTCTTCAGGTATACCTAAATACCATTTTACATTACAGTTATTTCCTATTTGAGCTTGCCAAATAGATTACTCTCAAGAAAGCAGGGACCTTGAACAGGCAACTCATAATTATCTCTTGTTGTAAACAGGTTCAGAAATACCCTTTTTTCTTCTGTCCGTGAGAGCTCTTAAAATCATATCTTCCTAGGCACTGCTCCTGCTTAGAAAAATTGTCTCCACTCATCTCAGTAATACAGTTGAGCTAAAACTGAATCTAATTTCATCAAAACTGTGTGTGTGTGTGTGTGTGTGTGTGTGTGCACGTGTGTGCACGTGTGCGTGCGTGTAGCATAAGATCGACTCTTCTGGCCAAAAGTTAAAAGTCACTAATATTTCTGAAGTCTTTTCTTAAGGCAGAGAGCAAAATTGATAATGTGTTTCTATTTAATGAGAATATCATGAATTACTTTTAAAACATAGCTTTAACTTTGCCCTTAGTAAACATACTACTGCTGTTTATTTTTTCATTTTCACTCCACTGCATTTACCTTGATCCCAGCTTTTTAAAAACTGGAATAAACGGGAGTAGGTATAAAATAAATTACTTAAAGCTCCTAAATGGTTTAAGAAATTCCTTTTGGAATTTATGAACTCTGTATTGTCTACTTAGTAAATAAATAAATAAATAGTCTGATTAGTAAATAAATAAACAAACAAACCATTGCAGGATATTAATCATTCAGTATCAGAATTTGAAGATGGTTTTGCTCCATCGCTCCATTGACCTAATGCAAATGAAATATCAAAGTGTGATATTTCTAAGTTGTATCATTTAACTGTAATTAATAAACTAATCATCTTACTGAAGCCAAACAATGCATAGGAGACTCTTATAATACAAAGAATAAGTCTTTTCCTCTCTTTATTCATTGCTGTACGAAGAACAAATTTATTTATGTTCTCCATGACTTGGCTGTAGAACGCATCAGTAATTTCTTGCTTTTCAAGCCTGACAGCCAGGCTCTGAATAAAGAATGAATACCAGCCTTGAATGAACATTTCAGGCACTTTTTTTTTTTTTTTTTTTTACAGACTAGTTATCAATACCTTTTTCTCATTATTGTAAGGCCAGCTGCTCTGACTTCTTTTCCTTTAGAAAAAAAAATTTAAACCACTGACCATGTATTGAAGTCATCTTTCCCAGTGTATTTATGGTTTCTCCCCTTGCTTACTATAGATAAATTTGCTTAGTGGTAATGGTTTTGAATATTTTATAGTATCTATATAAATATGTTCCTATGTATATGTGTGTGTTATACTCAGAGGCTTCTTGATAAATTTCTTACTTATTCATCCTGCCTTTTAGGCTAGCTTTTTCAATAGTACTCTTCTGATATAGGACCCTGATGTCTTTAGGGGTAATAATATTTCCCATCCATCTTTTTTGGCTCAGACACAACATAAAAGACATAAGAACCATCAAATTGCAATATGTCTTCTATTATAATAGCTTCCAATATAACTTAAAAGTATCTATTTTATTCTTATCTTTGAAATCCACAAAATGTTGCACTTCTAACTTTAAAGAAATCTATAGGAATGGTCTACCTAGACCATTCCAGTTGAAGGAGCTCCTCTATCATTAATGCTTTATTTCGTATTTTGTATTTATGATATTTCTTTTCACTTATTCAGTAGATTTTTCTGATGCCTGCAGAGTTACTTTGCTGGGAATTGGGGCCACAGCAGTCAATAGACAGAGCAGTACTTTCTGAGCGTACAGATAAATTAACAAAGAACAATGAGTGTTATGTTAGGGAAGCATGTAGCACAGAGACCAAACCTAGTCCAGGAAGTCAGGAAAGGCCTCCAGAAGGAAATGACATTTAGAGTTTGAGGTCGACCTAGGCAGATAAATACTGAAGTGAGAGTGGACAGTCTTAGCAGGTAAAGGAAATAGGCACGTGACTGTCCAGAAATGCAATGCAAAGCATGCACGGACGGAGCGGTATAATTAGAAATAAATGAGAAAGGGAAGCAGGAGCAAACCATGAGAGAATCAGGAACCATAGTAAGGAGTTTGCATTTATTTTATGGAGAGTGAAATTGAAGAAGTGACATATCAGAATAGCATATTGGAAAGATAATTGGTGGCTGCAATGTGGTAAATGAATCAGAGAGTAGTAAGCTTGGAGGTCAAGAGGCCAGTCAGGCTTTGTAATAGATGACAGATAATAACTAGGGATGGTGGTGACAGAGGAGGTAGAGTCCAGAGAAATTCAGGATGTGGAATACACTGGACTTGGTAATTAGAGAGGAAGGAGTTGGATAACTTCAGAGTCCTGGCTTACTGATAGACTGTTAGAAGAGGAGCAGCTTGTGCAGGCTGGATGATGCAGTTTGGGACCCACGGTAGGGGAAGGATCACGTACATGACTGAAGGGAAGGATTAATCTTGGATTTGTAAAAGGAAACCTCTGCAGGAAGGAGAGAAGGATAGATATGTAAGCGGTTAGATTTAAAGGTCTGGTCCTAAAAAGTTGAGAAAGTTTCCTTCTAATGGGATCTGTTTTCTCTTTAAAGTAGATGACCATGCTCCTAAGGGTGATTGAGG